CTTTCGGTGTCACTGACATGTTTCGAGATGAGTAGCGTCCTCGATTTCTTCTTCTTTGAGCTAACCCGAGTAGCACTCGTCGTTCTTTTGGGTTTAGACTTTGACTGAGGTTCCTCATCAGAGGACTCGGTAGAGGACATCTCGCTCTCGTCGTCGGTCTCGGATGAGGACTCAGACGAGCTTGGATCACTGGGGTTACTTCCAGCAATAGCGCGTTTGACGGAACTCTGCGTTGGTAACAGAGATGACGCCCTCCAGTATCTCGTGTTACTTGTATCTTGCCCATCTCCTTGGGGCTTTGTTTTATCCTGTGGGTCATCGTCTTCGCCTTCTTTTGGCTTGGGTTGCTCGCTTACTTCAGTTTGTCTAGCGGGGACGGATACAATTGCTGGGGCATCATGAGGATCCGATGTCTCGGGTGAGTCGGTTCGGATTGGTTGGAGCGTATTCTTAACCAGGGTCTGTGCCATTTTCTCTCTAGCTTGTGCTTCGATGACTAACTTTTCTAATTCCTGGACCCGCTCTTGTAGACTGTCGACTTGGTCACATTTTTCGGTAAATTCTTCCCTTGCGAATTTCCTGAAGCGACGCAAGGCGATATTTTGGACTCTGATGGAGCCTCCTCGATTCTCGTCGTCCCACAGTTTGCGTAGCGACTCATCAGAGCCGTTTGGGCTGGGGCGAATGAACTCAGCCATTTCTTCGTCGAAGTCGGACCAGTCGTTAAGGTGACTTTTGAATTGATGCTTTGAGGTGGGGATTTGCTTCTCCGGCATCTCACTTATTTCATTTTTAATAGGCTGTGGACTCTTATGCGTCCCAACGCTTTCATTGGGGCTTGAGATCGGGTTTCTCGTGGGGAACTCAGGTACTTCCCCCAAATCATCATCATCATAGGAATCTGACCAGTAAAATACTTCTTTCAGGCGAGGTACACCTTTTCTATCGGGGCGATCTAGGGTACATTCTGTCTCGCGGGGGTTGTCTACAACAGGTCGGTCATTATTTAAAATGACGGTCCCAACGTCACTGGGGGCTGTGGACGTCGACGTGGCTTCATCATCGCTGGGCAATGGAGCTCTGCTAGGTGCGGGGCTGCTCACAGCACTTATCGCTTGGGTGAACCCTAGGTTCACCCTGTCCGAGTTTTGGATACTGGACTTAGAAGGAGGCTCGGCCGCAAGGCTGGCAGTCCTTTCGTCTCCAGGGACAGACTTTTTATCCCGAGACCTTGCGCTCTCAGACTTGCGTCCGAGAGGGCGGGTGTCATTGCTCAAGCTCCTAGACCTGGTCGAGGAGCGAGTAGATGCATTTTCCAGTGCACTGGTAGGCATTGATTCTTTTTCGTTTGAATGGTATCGTACGGAAGGGGTAGCTTTTGTTTAACAAGAGTCGAGGTTTTGGAGGGTGATCAAGCCTCCTAGACGACGACTATAGTGGGGGAATAGGTTTTTAGATTTAAAGGCAGTTAAAAATATGTGGCGTTCGTAGAACGTTCACACGGTAGAGTCGATAGTGTTGAATAAACTTAGAGGCTCGAACGAGATAACTGTCCAAACTAAAGTTATATTCAGGGGGGGTGAAAGATCAACTACCCTACCAGTAGATATATGTCGGTTTATATACTGTAGGGTAAGAATACTATGGAATACGAAGGAACGAAGGTAAATGAGTATCTAAAGAGAGTGATGGGTGTTAAAATTGGTTGTCATCATCAATGATCAGATGATGACTTTTTGACGAGCGTTACAAGCAACCACGTGATAAAACTCGGCGAGCCCGGGTAAGAATGCTTGCTTTGTGTTGGAGCTGGAGAACGACGCTGTATTGAGTGCCTACGACATGGCGGGAGACGACAAAGAGAGGATGGTCTACGACATAGGTATATATACGTGTAGTCGGGATTATCCGAACAGCGAACGATGACGAAGGGTGAAATACCAAACTCTAACTTTGTGCCTCTCACTGAGATTTGTAGCTAGATAAACCTAAACCATGGCAAACCGTCTCTCCGGCAAACTCTTCCATGTTACACAGAAGGTATATCGATCAACAAACAGATTAGCCGCACAGAAAGGGTTGGACGTATTCATGAGCGGCTCCTGACACTGATTGAAAGGTGCGGTCGCATAAGCCAACGTGCTATACGAACTGATGAGCCATCATGATACGGCGACATTCGAGGTATGAGAATGTATGTACACCGCCGAGTCGTTTCCTGTTTACTTCCTTCATAGGCCCTCAAGAACCGAACCTGATCATGAGCCCAGGTGGATCGGACAACTTGCATAATATGCCTTTCTACGAAGCTCGACAATCCGGGAATCACATCGATTGCACGATATAGTTCAACAATAGCGCAGTCACCGCAGCTAGCTTAGCTTAAGGGTTTGGAAGGCACTCGTCACGGTTGAGAGCGTTTCGGGCGTCCTTCTGGTCAAGCCCAGCACCTCGTATCGACTGCGAGTGGATCGATCAAAGTCGTCCTGCCTCACAAGATTTTGACGCTGGTGTTTGACTGGTGTAGTATATGTCACGGGCGCACGGCTATGTGTATGTATTCAAATATGAATGAGATTCCATCGACAGGGTGTGTGGCTAGACTTGAGATACGGTGGCGTAGAGAGCTGCATTGTCAACACGAACAAACAATTGCGAAACTAAGGCGTTCCGTATTATCACGCAGAACTTCACTGAGAAGGCTTGACGCTCAGCACTTACTATGTAACAATATCATTTCGGCAGCAACTTAAGAATGGTGCTCCAGGTGGTGCATTGGTCTCGAGTATCGCAGCCGCTCGGCGCTCTTTGCGTATCATTTTTCCCTCACAGAAGGATACGGTTTTGATCAAATACAGTCCGATTTTGACTACTACATGGTTTGAGGCCTCAGGCCTCAAGCTTCAAGGCCTCATCGATCATCTTCAATAAGAGCTGAAAATACGGTCGACTGGTGGTAAGTCTTCTCTTGTTCCCTGAAACCAATTCATTTTTGAAAGGCTGCATGGCGTAGCCGGTGGAGCCATATTGAACCTTATAGATCTACGCTTTCAGGCTGTGACCCGTGAGCTACAGGAAAGTACGGGAACCACTTCATAATCTTTATCAAGATAGGACATGCTGTGGTGCCGGACCAACAGCACACGTGCCAAACTAAACAACGTATCGACATCCGGATGATCTCTGCTACAATTCCTCTGATTTCAAAGTTCAATCCTTCTGTATGGGAAATACTAGGCTGAACTTCGTCTTTCGAATATCATTGAAACCGATGCGCTCTCGCTTTGACACTCGCACACACGCCTTGATTTTTCGGGCGTACAAAGAAGTGAATCACGCCAGTCTGTACTTTCTGATCCATGAGGCAACCTACATAGTGAGTTTCATTATGCCTTACTTGAGAATGAATTACGACCGCAACAGTTTCCGCGTGAAGTGCGGAGATTCATAACTGTCCCTTGATGTGAGGGTGCGATCGGAAAGTATCAGTTTACTAAGGGACATGCTGATGAAGAAAGGGCTTATTTTATGGAGAGTGCGAGTGTCTTCAAGCGCCGAAGGACTTCCTTCAGGAAATCGGAACAACCCGCGGAACCTGCGGCTGGTGCCGAGGCAATCGGCTGATTGGTCAAAGTGGCGCTTGTCACAACTTCCAGGCGCTACTTAGAAGCCGCATCAGACGTCTTTAACCCTGGGCCCTGGGGACTGAGGGCAGCTCTCATCTAGCGCTTAACTTAATATTGTATGACGTGCTAATGTTGCCAGGCTAGGTGTTCATCCTCGTTCCAGTCTATGTTTGGACCACCGGGTGAAGTTATCATCATACTACCAACTCCACATTCATCGAACGCCGAATCGATATCTCGGATAACATGGCTACCGATAGGTATTGCTTCTGCGAGTATTGCATGTGTCCAGCTGACTGACCAATTTATCGAACTTCTGCCAGATCTATTCGAAGAGAAGTAAAGAAAGGTCAGGATAAGACATTGGTACATACACCAGCGCTGATTTAACATCTAGTTTCCTGCAACACCATTCAGCTCTGACTCCTGTTGTTACATCCGCTTTATACTCACGGTATGATATCTCGCCACAAGATGTACCAGTTGATTGAAACTGAAACTGAAAACAGGTTACGACCGCACTGTTAAAAATGATGAACACCTACGATGACGCGTATTCAAGTTCATCGTACGTTACCATTTTCGACTGATGACTCACATACGGTTTACTCACGCAGTCCTCAGGCATCTCGACCGTAGTAAATCTTCGTGTAGTGAGGGGCAAGTTTTATCTTTATACTTTAAATTGTGATATTGAATAACTGATTGGTGCCCCCTAGCCGATCGCACTCGAATTTTCTTGAGATAGAGATATCTGGTTTGCATTTCTCCGTATATGATAGCTGTCGGCTCGGAAGGTTCACCACTGTACAGATATATCTCTGCGTGGAAACCTACCCAAAGTCGGGAGGAGTTCGTTGGACGACTTTTTCTGCGTGCGCATCGGTGTTTGCAACCAGTTGCAGACAACAGGCTGGGCACTACGATCTTACAAGTGGAACAAGACACATCGCTTGTGAGTTATCAATAAGTGGGATTACTGTGGGAATTAACTGTGCGCGGGACTCTCAACAAGCAAAGTAGACGAGTCCTCCAAAGTCACATTCAGCGTCGATGCCTGTGATATCCGACACTCCCGGAGGATCGGTAGCTTCGAGGACACCATCGGAAAGCTCTTGGAGTGTTCAGGTCGTAAGTGAGGTTTGATATTTCCCCTTCAGCGCATATAAAGCATCTTTAGCCATCACGCGGACTGTCGACTTGTATGAATCAGGAGGCCAAGAAATCAAGATTCACTTTAGGATTTCTCCCATCCAATCTTCGACCATCAACAAGCTATCCATCTCTTGTGAGCAGTCAAGCATCCTCTATTGAGCGCTGTTTCTCAAATCATTCCTGCAGACATTGACCTGCAAGATTTGCCCTCCATCCATCATAACACATTCCGTGTTCAAGTGGCTATAGATGGCACTATCCGGGAAAGTCCCTCAAAGCCCAGTCATCAAGGACACTCCAGATGGACAGACGGATATGATTTGTAGGTTGATTGATGCTGCACATATGCATCTGTTTGACGCATTCTCGACAGTCCATTCCAACTGAACTCGCATGCTTCACTGCAAATTTTTGCGACACGTTGGCTACACAAAAACAAGCCGATAGCTGTGGTGGAAGGTTCCGTGAAAGAATGGCTCGCTGCACCCAACGGTGGTAGGTTATCTATGAGCCTCTGTGTAGCCTACTCACACCTTCCGCAGTTGTTCGCAAGACTCTCGAATCCATGGGCACAAAAATTCAGGCAGAATTCAAGGTCTCTCAGACTTCGGGTTTGTCTACTGCTGGTAATTTCCACGTTGAAGAAGCTGTTGATACGATGGTCGGGAAAAATAACGAACTGGGCACAAAGAACATCGATGCATTGGACATTTCCGGTAGATCTCGGTTGAAACTATGATCTCCACTGTTGCTAACGGTGCATTAAAAGCCGTTATCCTGGACATCGACCGCGTTCCTAAATTCGGAAAGCTGTCTTGGGATGATCGATTCTTCCTCGAAATTCACGCGACGAATAACGGAGAATCTCATAACATTATATCTCAAGGACAACAGGGGGTGAAATGCTTGATGTGGGATACGACATTCACGTTGTAAGTCCTCCCATATCATATCGTTTCACAACATAATATTTGAGGCATCTCAGTAACGTTTCTCAAACATCACGACTCGTGTTTCGTGTTCTCGGCTATGACGGAAAAGAAAGCGAACCAATTCCTATCGGTATTGCTATTTTCGAAGTCGATGAACTTCTGCAACAAAACGGCTGTCAGTGTTGTGTTCTGATTGACAAATGCATTAACAGTGAACGCGCCAACAGTGATTAGACGTCCGTTTTTATCATCTGCAGCATTCGTGCACATAGATGGAATCCCCACTTTGTCTTTCAGAGCAGCACAAGCTGGTGCTACGTCATCTACAGGCTCTATGTCGCTTACAAGGTCCTTGGGTTCTTTCACGCAGGAACTTTCTGCCGCCGTTAACCGTACTGCGGATCTCAACGTCCAACCCGAGCAACCAAGAGATTATGATCAAGATAAGAGAATCATCGAACATGCAATTTCTCAGGCTAGCAGACACAATGGCGGCGATGAACACCTTTACCCCCTCCTGGTAAAGATCGGTATCTTTGTTTCGGTGGCTGAAAGACTGGCTAAGGTATGGCACGCCTTTCTCCCAACACGCACCCAGAAGAACTAGCTTGACTCATTTTTTTTAGCTTCACCCCTACGCAAATATTGCATATTCGATACTGGCAACAGGATACGAGGTTTGGGCACACCATTTTCATACCTATGTGGTGGTATAAATATTAAAATCATCGCTATTAGGTCATCAGGCACAAGATCGCCTGCGAAAACGGCGTGATTCGGCTGATGCATACTATGCAAGAAACCTACGATCTTGTCATGACCGTCGATGCCCTCCCGTACCTGCATAAACAAAGAAACGTTCTCGAAGCCATCGTGCAGCAAACAATCGAATGCGCGTTCTTCATCCGCGATTATGTGGATACTCGAGACAGCTGTGAGTCTTCCAGGTGTGGTAGAGTTCTAGCTGATGTCGGACGCCGATCATAAAAGTCGCGCAAGTGATCAGGAATTCAGTACTGAACGTGGAATCTCAGATCAAAGAATTCGAAAATGCATTCAAAGACCTTCAACGCAGTTTTCAGAACTATATGGCCGTCTCCACACAGCTCACTGTGCTCAAAATCTTAGAAGATGTTCAAGATCTCGGTGAGTCATCCTATTCTTTCTCCGCTTCTATCTTCATGCCGTTTCAAATAGGCGCAAAGGCAGATTTTCGCGACATGCATTACGCCATAGATGCCAGATGTGCCGCATCGTGTGCTGTTCATCTACCGGCTAACAGTGCGGCGCCCCCGGCTGACCTCATAACATCACTGCAGAGCTGGGTTATCGGGGACAGCAAGGAAACAGAGAGGATCTGCGTCCTGTCCGGACCTGTAGAGATGTGCAGCTCCATCGCGCTACTGGTTGGAGAACAGTTTCGGTTTGCGTCACGCCTCGGTTCTTCATATTGCTTTCGAGGTACCAGGCACAACGACACCCGGAGCTACACAAACCTGTTCCCAACAATCGCCCGTGATCTGGCAGATCGTAATGCTCAGTTCAAGCAGAATCTCTGGAGGGCCGTGGGAAATGATACGAGTTTGCGCAAGACAAGGGTGGCGAAGACGCAGTTTGAGGAATTTATCCTCGCTCCCTTTAGGGATGCCGTTTGGAACGGACCATACCTGGTCATCATTGACGGTCTGGAGATGGGAGGGAATGAAGCCACAAGGAAGGAAGTATTGAGTGTCCTCGCGGAGAAAGGCGCCGAGCTTCCCAGAAACCTCCGATTTCTGATCACTTGCCAGCTGGAGGACGACATATGCAAAGCTTTTAGCGGTCAATCGCATATTCTGCGCCGGCAACTGGGGGGAGCTAGTTCCCTCGCAATGTCACGCGCCCAAAATCATCAGGATTATGTGAGCACATAATGCCTTGTCTTCTTCCCGTCGTGCTGCGAGGTTTGTGGTTTAGACTACGGTCGTCGTCATTCACTAAAATATCGCGTTATAGCATAGCACGCAATTAGACCTGAACTAAGTGTTGCCTCTTTCTCTATCACCGTCACTCGATGTGTCAAGCTGGGCTTCTATGACACTCAACTCATGTGCTCAATTCCGTCGTCCCAATAACTTGCTATGACTTCCTTTCTAGGCCTTGTTCATGACTCCGTTGGTGTATTACACTCAAATTTTCATTCGTCTTGCATTATGTTGTTCTGATACTCATTGTACAAACGTGTTCTTGAGCGACTCCGTTCGAAGAAAATGTGTGCAAAAGCAATTCACAGTAAACTATACCAAGCATGGTATCACATGTACCATGTGCAGTAGAATACAGCGGAAACCCAATACCAATATCACCCCAGTTTCTTTCCTACTAGGAATATTTTCGAGTGTTTGTTTGGAGAACAACCTTTAATTCACCACGTGGTCGTTCCAAGCGGTTCGCGAGCGTTAAGGCCTAAGGGGTCCAGTGAACACTAGACATTCGGAAATCTACAGAAACATATCATACACAAAGCTACTTTGTGCCTAGCTACATACATTGTCTTGTAATCGACACATTTCGCAAATGCAGCATGCAGGGTACAAAACTCGTCGTTCTTGTTTTCTGTTTCGTTTTTTTAGTAAGCCCGTTAGAGGTCTGTGATGATTACTACTTGAATAAATTTTCAGACAAGGAGGTTTTCCATACGATGCACACAGATCTAATGTAGATTTTTTGCATATTGCCTCTAGTAGTTCTGCAATTCATTATCTGCGCACCAGAGACATGTATGATAATCTCTTCGCTTGCACCGCTTGTGTCATACAGTGCATAGTTGCTTACTTAATGCAGCTCGTCCGAGACTAGGGATCGTTGAACGATGCTAAAATTTGCGACGGTTTCAAATATCTGATGAGTATCACAGCCGCTCGGCGCTCCGTCAACTTTGCCGCATATCAAGGTTTCGATCAAATACGGTCCTACTGCATGGTTTGAGGCCTCAAGGCTTCAAATCGTCAAAATAGGACTCGGACACGCTGCGGTGCCGGATCAACAGCACCTGTGACAACGTATCAAGATCCGGATGAACTCTGCTGCAGTTCCTCTGATTTCAAACTTCAATCCCTCTGTATGGGAAATACTAGGCTGAAGTCTTTCGATGGCGTATCTACTTTTGATGCACACCATTCAAAGATCTTGATCCAGGTTTTGGCTGAGAGACTCATGTTCACAACTTTGTGGGTTTATTCCCTCCGATCCTCGAGGTGGGGCCTACGAAAGCAATCAATAATATTCCGCAGGCAATCAATCAGCTTCTTCCATGAGGCAAGATGTATCACGTAGGCGCCTTTGGTTGTGCCCTGCAGAGCGTCTAGAAGAAGGTGAAGAAGCACTGGTTTTGAGACATGCTGATGGAATCACTGCATGAGGCGTGGAGTTCGGGAATATCTATGTAATGCTGTTTCGTGCTTGTGTGATTGTGTTCCACTCTAACTTGCTAATACAGGACGCCTCGAGATTGCGGGCTATCGGACCTCAGTGTCGCCTAGCAGGGGTATTCAATTACGAATATTCGAAATTTGCTCATTGTAAGTACAATGCCAGCATGTGCTATAACCGCACTATACTGACAACACAATCCAGAATAACATTTAAACATTTTGTACAACAACCAGAACTTCGTATGATGCTTCGATAATTGTCCGCAACGCACTCAGAAGTCCTGCAGTGGACTTCCATATGAAAATACGTATTGTTAGTGCATCCTGTGTAACACGTGCTCTGAAGTCACAACCCATGAATTTTGGTGGCGGCTCTCGAGACCCTTGGCACGTTGTGTTTGCAGTCTCATCTCGGTTTCTTTAACGCTAGAATTCAGATGCTAACGCCACATCATACTACCATCCGGACATTCATCGAACGCCGAATCGATATCTCGGAGCCTCTGAGTGTTGCACAGCTGACTCACACCAATTTATCAAGCTTCTGTCAGATTTACTCGAAGAGAAGTAGAAATAAGACACTGGTATATATACCAGCGCTGATTTAGCTTCTAGTTTCCTGCAACGCCATTCAGCTCTGACACTTGTTATTACATCCGCTTTATACTCAAGGTATGATATCTCGCCGCAAAATGTACTGGGTTATTGAAACCAAAACTGGAAGCAGGTCATGATCTCACTATTAAACATGTGGAACAGCTGTTATAATGCCTGGCCAAGTTCATTGTACGTTGCCATTTTCGACTGATGAATCGTATGCGGTTTGTTCAATGCAGTCCCCAGGCATCCCAACCGTAGTAAATCTGTTGGGCAAGTTCCATCTTTATACTTTGAAATGTGATACCGAATAACTGATCGGTGCCCACTAGCCGATCGCATTCAGATGTTTTTGAGATAGAGATATCTGGTTTGCATTTTTCTCTATACGATAGCTGTCGATTCGGAAGGTTCACTACTGTGCAGATATCTCTCTGCGTGGAAACCTGCCCAAAGTTGGGACGACTTCGTGGGACGACTTTTTCTGCGTGCGCATCGGTGTTTGCAACCAGTTGCAGACAACGGGCTGGGCACTACGATCTTACAAGTGGAACAAGACACATCGCTTGTGAGTTATCAATAAGTGGGATTGCTATGGGAATTAACCGTGCGCGGGACTCTCAACAAGCAAAGTTGATGAGTCCTCCAAAGTCTCATTCAGCGTCGATGCCTGTGATATCCGACAATCCCGGAGGATAGGTAGCTTCGAGGAAACCGTTGGAAAGCTCTTGGAACGCCCAGGTCGTAAGTGAGGTTTGATATTTCCCCTTCAGCGCATATAACGCATCTTTAGCCATCAAGCAGACTGTCAATTTGTATGGATCAGGAGGCCAAGAAATCGAGATTCACTTTAGGGTTGCCCCCATCCAATATTCGACCATCAACAAGTTATGTATCTCTTGTGAGCAATCAAGCATCCTGTATTGGGCGCTATTTCTCAAATCATTTCTGCAGACGTCGACCTGCAAGATTTGCCCTCCATCCATCACAACACATTTCGCGTTCAAGTGGCTATAAATGACACTATCTGGGAAAGCCCTTCAAAGCCCAGTAATCAAGGATGCTCCAGATGGACAGACGGATATGATTTGTACGTTGACTGATGATGTACATATGCATCTATTTGACGCATTCTCGACAGTCCATTCCAACTCGACTCGCATGCTTCACTGCAAATTTTTGCTACACGTTGGCTCCACGGAAACAAGCCGATAGCTGTGGTGGAAGGTTCCGTGAAGGAATGGCTCGCTGCGCCTAATGGTGGTAGGTTATCTATGAGCCTCTGTGTAGCCCACTCACAACATCCGCAGTCTTTAGCAAGACTCTTGAGTCTATGGGCACAAAATTTCAGCTGGAGTTCAAGGTCTCTCAGACTTCAGGTGTGTCTACCGCTGGTGATTTCTACGTTGAGAAAGCTGCCGATCCGGTGGTGGAGAAACATAACAAACTGGACACAAAGGAGATCGATGCATTGGACATTTCCGGTATATCTCAGTTGATACTAACGATTTCCACTGTTGCTCACGATGTATTGAAAGCCGTTATCCTGGACATCGACCCCATTCCTAAATTCGGAAAGCTGTCTTGGGATGACCGATTCTTCCTCGAAATCCACGCGACGAATAATGGAGAATCTCATAACATTATATCTCAAGGGCAACAGGGGGTGAAGTGCTTGATGTGGGATACAACATTCACGCTGTAAGTTCTCCCATGTCGTACCGTTGCGCAATAATTCAAGCATCCCAGTAACGTTTCTCAAACATCACGACTCGTGTTTCGTGTTCTCGGCTACGACGGAAAAGATAGCGATCCAATTCCTATTGGCACGACTATCTTCGAAGTCGATGAACTTCTGCAGCAAAACAGCTGTTAGTGTTGTTTTCCGATGACGAGTACATTGATTGTTTTAACGACGAACGTGCCAACAGTGATTAAACGTCCGTTTCTATCATCTGCAACATCCGTGCGCATAGATGGAATACCCACTTTATCTTTCAGAGCAGCACAAGCTGGTGCTATGTCATTTACAGGGTCTTCGTCGCTTACGACTCGGAGGTCTTTGAATTCTTTCACGCAGCTTTCCGCTGCCGTTAACCGTACTGCCCATCTAAATGTCCAACCCAAACAACCAAGAGATCATGCTCAAAATAAGAGAATCATTGAAGATGCGATTTCTCGGGCTAGCAAAGACAATGGCGGCGACGAACACCTTTACCCTCTTCTGGTAAAGATCGGCATCTTTGTTTCGGTGGCTGAAAGACTGGCTAAGGTATAGCGAACCTTTCTCACAACACGCATTCAGAAGAACTAGCTTGACTCATTTTTTAGCTTCACCCCTACGCAAGTATTGCATATTCGATACTGGCAACAAGATACGAGGTTTGGATGCACCATTTCTATTGCCTATGTTTTATAAAATTATTGTTATTAGGTCATCAGACAACAGATCGCCCGCGAAAACGGCGTGATTCGGCTGATGCATACTATGCAAGAAACTTACGATCTTATTATGGCCGTCAATGCCCTCCCGTATCTGTATCGACGAAGAAATATTATCGAGGCCATCGTGCAGCAAACAATCGAATGCGCGTTCTTCATCCGCGATTATGCGAATACTCGAGGCAGCTGTGAGTCTTCCAAGTATATATAGTAGAGTTCTAGCTGATGTCGGATGCCATCCATAAAAGTTGCGCAAGTGATCAGGAATTCAGTACTGAACGTGGAATCTCAGATCAAAGAATTCGAAAATGCATTCAAAGACCTTCAACGCAGTTTTCAGAGCCATGCGGCTGTCTCCCCGCAACTCACTGTGCTCAAAATCTTAGAAGATGTTCAAGATCTTGGTAAGTCGTCCTATCATTTCCCCGCTTGTATCTTCATGCCGTTTCAAATAGGCGCAAAGGCAGATTTTCGCGACATGCATTATGCCATAGATGCTAGATGTGCCGCATCATATGCTGTTCATCTACCAGCTAACAGTGCGGCGCCCCCGGCTGACCTCATAACATCCCTACAGAGCTGGGTTATCGGGGACAGCAAGGAATCAGAGAGGATCTGCGTCCTGTCTGGACCTGTAGAGATGTGCAGCTCCATCGCGCTACTGGTTGGAGAACGATTTCAATTCGCGTCACGCCTTGGTTCTTCATATTGCCTTCGAGGTGACAGGCACAACGACACCCGGAGTTATACAAACATGTTCCCAACAATCGCCCGTGATCTGGCAGATCGTAATGCTCAGTTCAAGCAGAATCTCTGGAGGGCCGTGGGACATAATATGAGTTTGCGCAAGACATGGGTGGTGAAGACGCAGTTTGAGGAATTTATCCTCGCTCCCTCCAGGGATGTCGTTTGGAATGGTCCATACCTGGTCGTCATTGACGGTCTGGAGATGGGAGGGAATGAAGCCACAAGGAAGGAAGTATTGAGTGTCCTCGTGGAGAAAGGGGCTGAACTTCCCAGAAACCTCCGATTCTTGATCACTTGCCGGCTGGAGGATGACATATGCAAAGCTTTTAGCGGTCAATCGCATATTCTGCGCCGGCAACTGGGAGAATCTGGCTCCTTCGCAATGCCACGCGACGCATAATGCCTCTCCTTCCCGTCGTGCTGCGAGGTTTGTGGTTTGAGTTACGGTCGATGTCATTCGCTGAAATATCAAGTTATAGCATGGCACGCGATTAGACTTGAACGAAGCGTTGCCTTTTTCTTTACCACCGTCACTCGAGGTGTCAAGCTGGGGTTCTATGACACTCGACTCATGAGCTCAATTTCGTCGTCCCAATAACTCACTATAAATATTCATGACTCCGTTGATGTATTACACTCAAATTTTCATTAGTCTTGCATTATGTTGTTCTGATACTTACTAGCCTGCACGTGATTCGCCTCTGTAGGATACCTCGATCGACGAGGATCATACCTTTAGAGACAACCCAAAGAAAATGAAAATTGATCCAGAAATTCTAAATCAATGTCCTAATTGAAGCATCAATGAAGTACTGGTATTTCCTGAATATAATATGATGTGTTCACATCTGTTGTACAATAGGCGTACTCCCTTTCTCAAGAGCAGTTCGAAGACTGGGGCGGTTCAAGTCAACATCACATAAATGGAGCCAAATGGATGCTCTCACCTATAATCATCGCCATTCTGGGTTATATACCTGACCCAAGGCAGGGCTTGATATCCGCTCTTTTCTACGATCTTCAGATAGCGAACTTGGATACCGGACACCGTGAAATAGGGAATCTCGAACTTCACACTGATGGGCGCACGCTTCTCCATGTCTTGTTCTACTCCATTGGTCAGTAAAGAGAATGCACAAAGTCAGATCTACTCGCCGCTTTTAACACTCGGAAGACCAAAATGAGCACGCATTAGATATTCCCGGCCACCTCCGAGCTGCTTGATCTTCCAGACAAATGCAGACTTATCAGGAGCATACTGCACACTGCCTGTAGATGCCTAGCAGACCGTGTCAGCTGAGAGTTATCTAGATAATCTAGGCGACAAACTCTGAATTTCGGGCTATCTGCATCATCCGGGACAGGAACATATATCTCAACATTATTCGCAGAGCTTCTGCGCTTGAATTGCGCCTTGCATTTCACCATATATTCCACACGGCTCCCTTTGTGGCTTTCCACGGCCGCTTCCACCCAGATAAGAGGTTTAACGGGCGTCGAAAGTCGGTAAGACATAAGTTCGAACTCGCCGTCTGGAGGTATGAACGATATTGTGCGGTCATTTTCGAACCTGGAGAGCCGGACGCACTGGTGGAACTTGACGTCCTCCATTTCGATAGCTTTTCCCCGAGCAGCTATCATAAATTGATGTATCAGAGACAGGGGGAGGAGCATAAGACCATCGCATACTTCTACCAGTGCTTTCAAACATGACCTTGTCGTTCAGCCCGAGTCGCAGTTCAGGCATACCAGACAGGTAGCACTTCATTTTGACGGCACCTAATATTTCAGATCGGACCACATTGCCGTTTGAATTGACCTATTTATGCAATTCATATCGAGCCTCGTCGCACAATGAACAATACTCACCAAGAGGTTCACGCTCTCGACAACGTCCAGGAAGACCTCATTCTTCCTATACCTTATGCCCTCTGTTCTCCATGAAACAGCATTCGTGACAGCCATGGGAGGCCTTGCTTGGATCTCAAGCTTGTGCGACTCCTGGGTGATATACCTAACACAGCATTAGTACCCAACACATGCGAGCAAGCCTCATACGCACTCTTGTAATATCTTACTCTCCGTCGTCTGCGGGAACCCGAAGTCCATCATCTCATCCATCAACTCATATATAATAACGAAGTTGTCTCTGATAGACTCCTCCTCGAGTTCCTTGAAGTATTCCATCAAAACTTGAGCCAGTCGATGGAGGAATATGATGATCTCAGCGGCATTTGAGTTGCGTTTCGACAAAGCCAAGACTGCAGTGTAAAGCATCAGGGAGGCGGTTCCGCCACAAGACACGTCAAGACGCACTGTAGAGATTGGAGTGTCGAATGTGCATGTAATTGATGCCTTGACTTGAGAAGCATGGTGTTACTTGCTGTCCCTCTTCTTCGATGTCTAGTACAAGCGGTAAGAAGCGCTCGATATACGACGACGGTACATCGTCCTTGTACGAGCGCTGTATTAGAGGCTTCCCCTTCAAGTCGAGAATTGCGATCAGGCTGGCCATGGTGGATGAAAGGCGCGAAACTGCGCCAAAGTAGAGTTGCCTTTTTGAGATTCATGGTGAAACTGCATGTTATTGCGATACGAAAGTAGGTCTACTATAACTGCCCCAGAGTTCAGGTTCTAAGTATTAACGGGAAACAGATAGCCCCGAAACCAGACATCTACTTATAATCTCAACCAGCCAAAGAACCTCGAACTCCTGGCCGAACGGCTTGGTTTTGCCAGAAGTGGCACATCTTCACGGGCGTCCTCCGCATTGCTGTCGAAAGACATGTCGCCAACTTGGGGATCTGAAACTTCGCCAACGACGGTGTCAATGTCGTCTGTCAATGGAGTGGACGAGCTGCTATCCAAGGAGTAACCAAAGTCGTCAATCTTGAGCCTACGCTGGCGGAATTTCCATGCTATGCACATAGCTAGTAAGGCGGATTGCATGATGCCGGACACAGCGTACATCGCCCAACCTTTGACACATTATTAATATAACAATAATAGCAGCAAACGCAAACACACTTGTCCAGTTAGTGCCAGGGCTTGCATAAATATGAGTACAACGTCGAATACGGAGAATCTAGTTGCTCACCGAAGCGCAATAGATATGGACATCACAAATGCCCCAGGGCTTTGTATTATCATCATAGGGATACTGAGCGCACCGACAAGTTTCGAATGATAAGTTCGCGACAGCTGTGGGGCATATTGAATTGCTGCGAGTAATGCAGAGCTGACGCCGAGAAAGGTCGCCCACAAGGATATTTGATGCGGAACCTCTCCGCCAGGCTCTTGGATGCGCGTCGACAGAACGAAGAATGTGATGATGGTAATGAGGACACTTCAAAACACATAAGAATAGAGCCAGAAAGTTAAATAGGTCACTCAAACAGATGGATGGTAACAGCCCACGAGACGTTCACAGAAAGACGCCAATCATCACTCAAGAGCTTTGTCTTGACATGCTGAGGGGGGAGAGTGCCGTGCGCAGGGATGTCAATGTCAACATATTTCAACCGGGCAGGATAGTAGATCATGTATAAAACCAGGCTGCATCTGATGTTAGTTGAACTGCTAGATTGAAAGAGACGATCATACATAGTCGTGAATAAAACCCACTGCAAGACCACTTGTGTTACTCCAGCAGTGATCTCTAGGCATTTCCCCACGCTCTGATGAGTCGTAGATTCTCAGTGGCGCCAGGCAGGCAATATCACCGCGGAACGCACCAGATCATTACAGCACTGAATAGTATGCCAAGATAGTGCGATCCTGTTGGACGGTTCATCAGAAAACCCGAACGTCAATGCCATCCGGTGACCGGTGGCTCACATATTAAGCATTCCCGCGGCAGAAGACGTGCTGCCAAGTAGCAAGAACCACGGGCTAAAGCCCTCGGAAGAGCCGATCTGAATTATTCGGAGGTGCTATTCCACAACAGTCAGATGATTATTGTTCTGCATGTCGTTCATGTTACCTGTGGGCAATAGGATACGACGAGACCAATGATAAGAAAGGTAGCGAGTGCATTGACAAACCAGTCGCTGTCCTGTGAAATAACCAGTTGCATGAGATTCATATTCATACTACTCAGTAGCAACCTACCAAGTGACAAATGTCATGCATTGTACTAGTATGTGGAGGAGTGCTACACGCACAGAAGGTGAGCCTCGCACGCTGACCGAATAAGTCAGCTTATGTAATCTAATAATGCCGCTTGCTGCTCACTGTCAATATTATTCTGTCCAGACTCCACGCCCTTCTCGTGTCCCCCATTATTAATGTCGTCCTTCCGCATACTCCGCTCTTTGCGGATGTCTGCTGTTGTCCGTGATCGTCCAGTACACCTATTGGACCACTGGACACGGTCGAATAGCCAAAATCTAGGGAGTCTTAGCTTGCGGAGATGGTTACACGGGTCGCAGAGTGCGTATCCTACTTTCTGATTTGGAATATTAGACCGACCACAATTCGTCAAGTACAGCGTCATGGAAATGTGACCAGGCCAGACCCTGGTACTGGGTACGCAGCATACCGGAAAATGTCCCGAGTTGACCCTGACTTTGCTTCAGAATTAAATTGCATTTCAAAGATTCGAAGGGTAAATTGTTGAAGACCATCGAAGCGAACGAGGGGGATGATATCCTATCACTTGCGCATGAACATGATATCGACCTAGAAGGTATTTCGCGAATAGTGCTTCATTTGACGTCATTTGGTCAGCTGAACTTGTTTGGTTGAATCATTAGGCGCATGTGAAGGGTCAGTTGCTTGTTCGACGTGTCATGTTGTTCTCTCGCCCGAGCATTATGATTTACTCCCCGAGCCATCTGACGATGAAAATGACATGCTCGATATGGCGTTCGGTTTAACTGACACTAGTCGACTCGGGTGTCAAGTGCATGTAACTCGCGAGATGGACGAAATGACAGCGACACTGCCTAGTGCGACACGGAACATGTTTGTGGATGGGAAGAAGCCCACGCATCATTGATAGTGAATCATGGATATATCCTTACGTATCAAAAAAAATCACACTGCTGACAAGACATCCGTGCTTTGTGGAGACCACGAAGGTCTGGTCTTTCACAGGTATTTATGAATTAGTCAACGTCGCGACGATAATCAAGTACTGTTAAGATACCGGTGCCCCTTAGGCAGTGCTCATGTGCACCGTCATTCTATTATTGCGCTTGTCGCTTGTCGGAATTGTGATTTTGGATTAATTCTTGGATTAAAATTAGTCTTGGCTAAATTTATGGCTCTAATCACCATTACCATCAGTGCCTCGAAAAGGCCTCGAGGCACTAGGGATGTCTCGGTCTGATCCTAACCCGCGTCACAAGCTTTTCCTATATGTACACTTGTTTCCCCCTCGAGACTTTTCCCAAGTTGCCATGTCCCAACCCTGCGACGCGTTGCAGGTGAGTTTGTCACCGGGTGTCTGCTCACCGTACCTTACCTTCTCTAATACAGGCCGTGGCGGTGGCACATCGCCCTGCATTGCGCGAACGTGCAGGACAACCATTAATTACACCTGCACCACCCGTAGGATATCCAACATCTGTCCATGCTTCCCGTCCATTGCGCTCTTCTCCTCTCGCTGGGCCAGCATTTTCTAGTAATCCATCAATCGTATCTATAGAGTCGAGTCAATCACATTGTCCAAGTCTTTTTAGCATAGACGTCGGTCCATATTCTCGCTCACAACCCTCATCTATCATCTCTCACACTGGTTCTATTTCTGCCACTACGTCCTCGCATGCCCATCGTGCCCCCAGACCCTTAGGCGGACCGTCCAAGAGCGCCGGTGCCATTCCCACCCTCGGCCTAGACGCCCGCCCATATTCACGCTCCCCACCCTCATCTTTCATTTCTTATACTGGTTCTGCTAGCTCATCCTCCTTCTCGTCGCATGCGCACCGTGCTCCCACAACGGGATCAATCAAGAGCACTATCTCTACACTTAATCTGTTTCGACGGCATGCCAAGGAGGAGCCAGCAGCACCACTTCCTACCCAAGCACCACTCGGGCATAGTCGCTCAGCATCATTTCCATGCCAAACAGTTCCCACGCCAGCCCATGTCCCACAAGCCTACTCACCAAGTGTTGCTCGGCCAGTCTCCCGAAAACCTTCAGTGTCCCGAAACCCGGATGATAACTGGATGTCGTCTACTCCATTTGGTCCTGCGTCTACGCCCCGCTTTTCCAGACAAGCGATGTCATCACAACCAGTCGTGATGCCCCTGAGTGCTAGGGAATACCGCCGACGAAAATGTGCCAGCATGATGACGAACACGGTGTATTCGGCTGCATCTGGTTCACCGGTCTCCGGCAGGGAAGGTGTAAATTTTCTACCTCATATTGAAGAGGCCTCCGGTCCTTCTCCTTCCGTTCCCTCATCCGGAAATAGGTCTTCCAGGCGTGCCTCGTCTCCTTCGCTTCCATCCTCACGGGTATCTCTTCCCCCAAGTTCTCGGGAACCCGCATTGTCCGAGACAAGTTCGATCAGCAGCAGCTTCTTCTCATTATCGTCTGAGAACGAGGCAGAAAATGCCGTCATCACTGCGGTTGATCCCGGCGCAACGCCGTCCCGGAGGATGTCTTACCCCAACCCAACCCAGCGTCATTCACGCATTAGTCTCGTGGATGCCGTAAGTCGCCTTTCGCAGATGAGCGGGGCAAGTGGAGATACCGTGTTTTTGGATATGGATGACAGTCTTAACCCTCGTCAGAGACAGATCTCTGTGACGGAGGATGACGGAGTGCTCAGAAGGGCGAGCTCTAGAAGAGTACTCAGAAGGGCAAGCTCGAGAAGGAAGAAACCTGATGCACCTTCCCGAGAACCGCTAATGGCGGACGCCGCGGCACAACCTACTGCGCTACAAGAACGCACTCGAGTGGTCAGGATTCTGGAAGCCAGCGAAGTTTCGTCTACTCCCGTGCTTGACAGCACGTTTTCTGGCGCATCCCATGACCATGAAGAACTTGTCTCCGGTGACATATCCACCGAGCAGGCCGCTCCTGAATCGAAGCTGGACTCGAAGGCGCCAGGCACTTCGTCCGCTGAGGCACAGGTCAGGTCTCGCAAGAAGCTTACCAAATCTCGAAAACAATCTATTCAGGTACCACAAGCACAATTAGCTACCCCTTCATTACCCTGGATACCTCGCCCTTCTTCACCGTTCTTCAGGGGTAGTGCAAAACAGAACACTCCAAATGTTCCCACACCGGACGCGACCCTCCAGGAAAATGTTCCGCTGACTGAAGAGATAGGAGATAGCGGAAAGGAGAACAAACGTCTGGGTCGTCGATTGACATTCCAGTTTATTCCCTCCCCCTCCTTTTACAAGCGACCCAAGTCGGCTTCAGGCAGTGCTCCAAGCCTTGACTTGAGGTCTCCGATGAGGAATGACGCACGGCAAGGAATGTCTGAACCTGATTCCCGGTATGGAACGGATAACAGCCTGACAGGTAGCGCAACTACTATCACCTTGTTGCCTCCTCCGCCTATTACGTCTTCTTCCAGTGTATCCTCAAGTGCGGGAAATTCTACTTCAAGCTTGACTGATGGCAGTAGCACGATGGGGTCACGGGACACTGGCGCTACTTCTATCAATGCTCCGAACCTCCAAACCGCTTCTCGTGGCGCAGAATATTCTTACCCCAAAATCCCGTCGAACCTGAAGCAGAGCATGGTAATGCAATGGGGCAGTGACAATGACAGTGACCAGCAAGACAACTCAAGACATGCATCCAAAACTTTCGTCGACCCCCCTAATGCCTCGCATGATCAAGAAGTACAAGCATCGTCATCTTCCTTTTGTACCGTCACCTCTTACGCATCATTCACCTCGTATGCCACATCAGGCTCTACACCTACTGCTCTAGATGCCAAAAACACGTTTCGCCACCACGACCAAGCACCGGATCCTAATGTCCACCCTATGTGGACAGTTCCTATGGTCACGATCACCGCTGCCTCACCAACCATCCCCCCACCGCGCGCTAACGAAATTTCTCCCATACTTCACGAACTCCACGTAGAACCCTCTTTTCTAGCTATTCCCGTCCCCGTTCCTACCCCGAGGCCTACAGCACGCCTGAAGCGCCCGCGTCCACGTCCACGCCCACAGACGGCACCTGCTTCACCCACCGTGCCGCATTTTCCGACTCCAACTTCGAAATCACCGCGGACTGCCGGAGCGTCGTCAAGGTTCAAATCTATATTCCGCAGTCTTCTTAGTCGTGCAGGCTGATCATCAGGGTCATCTTTGATTTTAGCAAGAAGTTTGATGCTGATCCTCCAGTATATTGTTATCTGGAGAGACGCTTACGCCTGTTTCATGTGGACACAATTAGCGAGATAGCTACTATCCTATTTCGTCTGGGTTTATGGTCACCTGTCTTGGGCATGCGAGTGCATGATAATAGTTTTGGGAACGGACACTGCTTTCTTTGACTTGCACGTAATTGATGTGATGATTATTTACATACATTGTACTAGAACGTTTTTCATGACTTTCACGAAGATGAAACAGATATCTTGGGACTACATGGTCAATAATATATGAGCGTGATGACTCAAATTTGATGAACGTGCACACTAGTTGGATTGTACTAGTTTCATGGAAGATTCTATGCAAGAAGGGCGACAACGTTCCTCACACGCGACTGGTTCGATAAGTTGCACAGTCACGATGCCGCATGACCCTGAAAAGTCATCGCAGGACCGATATTCTTAGATGTACCTAGGGGGCTGAACGTTGAACGATGAGCTGCAGTGCAATAACCCACACCAATATTCGGGGTTTTGATCTCGTTACTTTGTCGTTACTAATGATTAATTTGTGAGCGGCAGATGGGCCGCTGGACCCCTTACGATACCACTGATATGGAGGCACAGGAAGTTTTCTTTACATAAATGCAATCATACGGCAGTTGAATAGCATTTCTCGGTAAATTGGATGTCTAACGAAAGGGCTATACAAGAAAAAAAACGATTCAGAAGTCCTGGTCGAGGCTGTGAAGCAGCTCAAAGTCTTGACCCAGTGCGCGCGCTTCTGGCACTCAGCCTCGAGAAAGAGACCGACAATCTCTACCACAAGAGAATGACAGAATCGGAATTACAACGATCAACCCCTTTTGAGAATTGGAGGACCCGCACAGGTGTCAGGCGGTCGCACGTTTACCCGTGGTGACAGGCTCGGAAGACGAGGTTGCTCGTTTGTAGGACTTTGAAGATGGAACAAAATAGTGGAACAGTCAATTGAATGGCCCAAGGATAGCCAGTAGCGACGCCAACTTAGACCAATCGGAGACGACCCATTACTGACGCCCACTTATGGGGGATCGACTTGATGGACTTTTCACCAGATGCAGCTCAGAGCTCAGTCCTAGCGACTGATAAAGCCATGGAGCACAGGAACGTGATAGGTTGCAAGGACGTCTAATCGATTGTGGAACACCAGCACCAGCCAATCGTGACTGCGTCCAGTACTTGCCATCCTGCGCACTTATTCTTATTGTCATTGAAGTCTAAGGACGAGGGAAATAATCACACACTTCGAGGGAGTTATGTTGCTGTCAGCCGGGAAGGCCGTGGCCGTGCACTTTGTTGTGCAGATCGATTTGAAGACGCCACTGATGCGGATGGATACGAGTGATGAAGTTATGAACGCCAGCCTCTGCAGTTGGCTGCAGATGCCAGCACGACAAGGCTATCCTCGACGGTGATCAACCTGGTGTAGTGTGGCCAATCCCGGATCCGAGGCCAACTGGGTGTCCATCATTTTTTGCGCGTTATCGAGTAAACTCAGCGGTTTCATCAAGTAGGATTGATGCGGGATCTTCGAGATTATCAGTGGAGACTCATGATCACGAAACGTTGTTGATGCCCGAAAGTTCGGAGCTGCTCTCACGGTTCTGTTCTGCCACAGTCACAGGCTCACAGCGGCCACTAGCCGATTCAATAACCGATATCATGATTGCAAACCCCAGCGCACCTATGTATCTTTTCGTAGCCGGCACTCATTTTAGGAATCCATAACCACTGCGGCCATCGATCTCAACCCTTCGTCTTTGATGATGAGCAGAAGTATGCAGCGCTACACGGTGCACAACGCTTATGACGATGCTACCGATGCCCTTCAAAATGATACATACTCCCCGAACATGCTTTTAGCATTCAGGTGCGAGGTAGGCCCTCAATAACACACGTGTCAGTATGCTTGACTGTCTTCAGAGCTGCGCCAACAGTATGTCTCCTTTCGAAGCAGAAGCTGCTGTTGGGTGGGTGATTGGCGCTCAAATGGAAGTTGCCTACTTGTTTCTACTGGACGTTTATGTGATCGAGAGGCACAGATAAATGCCTTCACAACGAGCACCGAGCACAAGGAGCGTTTGTCATTATCAACGGAGCATGCAGACCTCCGAATGGGGCTCATCGTACTTCCATTATGCCATACTATCACATAGATGGGAAGGGCACGAACCACTACTGCATGTCTTACTGGGATCAGATCGCATACGACTTAAACCCAGTTGGTGGCATGCAGTCATTGCTCGTGATAAGCATAACAATGTTGTCGAGCTTCAACGTTAGAAATGGTCAATTCCATGTTTGGTCTGGCGCGCTGGCAAAGAGCGCTTTGAATACATGGGGATGGACTGTTTAAGGATTCTCTTCTACCAACAAGATTAGTCCCTTTATCTCGACTATCCTCCCAATCACAAACAGTCTGTTAACGTGATTGTGCAGCAGTTGAACGATTTGACGGGCATAGTCGGATGCACGGGCCCTTGTCGCCTTCTGTCCAGGAATGATAGGAGAATCTAATCAGCGTGTCATCACATTATAGGAAGATATCGCATTCTCGCAGTTTGACATCTTCGGCGTCCTCCTACCAGCGATAGCGAGAAGAGGCAAACCGCTCTCGGGCCGTTGTTGCAGGAGATCGTGACTCATTCGGGTGATATTACTGCCCTGAACTGGGTTGGACAACTTGAATCATGGCTATCTTCCAGTCGACATGAAGCTCCATTATTCATACTGCTATTATTGTCTGATGAAGGAATACAGAGATTGGTCTGCTTGTGCGACGTGTCGGGGCCGTAAAGTTGGCTTCGACATTATGCAACATACATGAGTCCCTGAACGTTGCTCGTTTTGCGCACCACCGCCTTGATCTACCTTGCCCTGTATATCCTGTCACTGAAGTCAGATAGCACCTGGCTCCACCCGTTAAGCCAGGGTAAATGGGCTTCATGACCGGTTATCGCCACAGAAGACAGGCTGATCAGGCTGTTCGTAACATAATGAACTCCATCAGGACAGTTGAGATATTGTAGCTGCATGTATGTAAGTGATTTCCGCTGTGCAGCTAGCCTGATTCTGGTCAACAAATTCTATGGATTCTAAACTAAAAATGTACATTAGTAGTTTGAATTTTCTTATATATGCACACAATGAGGCTAGACTCCGACTCGGAGATCACATAGTTCATCTTGAAAACTAATCCGCGAATCGTCTCACAGACGGATGTGCCAGTGGGGGTTGGCTGTACTTAGTTTGCAAAGACATTGATCGCAGTGTTGAGAACGATCCTGTCAAGCGTGTGTGCTAGAGCTTGGTCATGAGAACGCACAGACGAAGGCTCCTATTTCTGAATCGGGACCTGGTGTGAGTGTATTGAAATTACTCGATGGTGGAGTCGCAGCGCTTATACGCGGCACGATAACACAAATCTAGAACAGGGGAGTCGCATATATTATGATACTGTTCCTAGCGTTCGCCAAGAAAGAAAGTAATCGCCTAGTAGTCATAATCTGGGAAGGCCTTCCAAATCATGGTACATAGGATCACATCGGTCATGTGGAGGGCACGCGAGCACCAGAGATGTGGCACAAAAGTGCAAAGGTTAGACTGGTTGTCATACTAGAAAATCAGGGAATCAGGTAAGCGTGCTTGTCGCAGCACCCTCTCGTTCATCAGCGAGTTCGAAGAATTCCACGATTTAGTGTAAGTGCACTTCAAAGCTTAGATTCCAAACTCTCATTGGTCGATAAGAGGCTTGAAAGACCTTCCCGCAGAAGATCAGTCATGGGGCTGCTCTTCCTGGACCCCCGTTCAACAAAAACATGGGTGTAACCCCCAACAGCTGCGGGTGCATCTTTTCCCTCCTCAAACACCGCGACCTCATACGTCACAGAACTTGAACCGAGCTTCACTACCCGAAGGCCGAGATCCAGGACCTGAGGAAATGACAGGGGGGAGAAAAACTATTACTGGAGTTGTGAACACCTGATCAGGGCGTAGAGCCGTTTGGCACTAGTACTTACCTGGCAGTGGGACGAGACCACCAGTCCAATTTGGGCAGAATCAGGGGTGAGTCCGCATCGTTGGATGAGAAAAGTGTTTACTACAGAATCAAAGAGGTGGTAGTAGACGGAATTGTTGACGTGTGAGTACTGGTCGTTATCAATCCTTGACATGAGTTAAGTTTCATGTATACGTGTAATCATTAAGGAAGAGTGGACTGTACCAGCGAGTTCGGTAGGAGAGGAAAAAAAGGTAGTCGGAACGTGTGTGTGCACGGTGTGAGCTCATGCCAGTGGTACGTGCAAGCAATCCGACGTAGTACCTAGTAATAAAATGTGGACGCGAGTTTGAGTATGTAATACAAACGACCACGTGACGATCAATTAGGTGCGACGCGTTGTTTTAATTACACTTCTTCAACCGCGATCATTCAACCATCTTCAACTAATCCATACCCTGACCACCTACAACCATGGAACGCCTGTATGTACCATGTATAAGATTCTGAATAATACCTGAGCAACTTCCCAGTCGCAAACAGATGGCATTTGACCCTAGTTTATACCCAGAGTTCAAGAAACCAACTGATGCAAAGACTTCAGAACTGCCAAGCGTAATCGTACGTCCTCATGTTTAACTTTATCTCTTCACTCAACACGATATTGTGTAGTCTATTTCAAGTTCTTCTACATCTTCTGCAACCTCAACGGTGGCACCGACAGCTCGACACAGAGGCCGAACAACAATCGTAATATCTTCTGACGAAGAAAACGAGGACTTGTACGTATTCGCTTTTCTCAGCGTGGCGTGCGACTCACAATTTTTGGTGATGCTGTTAAATAGACCTATTGCCCAGTCGCGATCCTCTGCTCAACCCCCACCAGCTGCTGCTCGTAACAATTTCGTCATGGATACCTTGAAACAGGCCCTTCCCGTGCCTCCTCTCGAGCGCAAACAGGTGCCAGCACCTGTTCACATTCCTTCAAACCGTGATATTCTTCCGGGCCCTTCCAACTTTAATTCGATGGTGGATGCGTCCCATCAGCCACACATCTACGAGCCCCGGATGTCCGCTACCGAGACTGAAAAGGCGTTGCGTGCTCTCGTAGAAGATAGTATCACCCCTGATGATGAAATTGAGATCGACATGGAGGAAGCCATTGTGGAGGGCTTCCAAGATGGTATTACACTTCTCCCGCATCAGGTCCTTGGTCGTGCTTGGATGCGTGATAAAGAAACAGGTAAGAAGAGAGGTGGAATACTTGCAGACGATATGGGGTAAGACTTTCAGTACTATTGCTCCTAGCGTGTAGTCAAGCTTTTTTTGTGCAGTCTCGGAAAGACTATTCAGACACTTACGCGAATCGTCGATGGTCGTGCCAAAAAATCTGATAAAGCGGACGGTTGGGCTGCCACGACCTTGTAGGTCAATTGTCTTTGATATTTTGTTTGTTAAGTTCATGATTTCTAGGGTCGTTTGTCCAGTTGCGCTCGTCTCTCAATGGGCCTCCGAGATCGCGAAGATGGCTGTAGGATTACGTGTGATTGAACACCACGGACAAAGCCGTACCACGGGTGGGTGCTTTCCACTCCAAATGGTATCCAACTTAATGCAGCACAGACCCTCTGAAACTCAAGTCTGCACACGTTGTGGTCACTTCGTATTCCATTGTAGCTTCTGAATACGCGACATTTGCACCTCCCGCAAAGGACGAATCCAAGTCCAAGTCAAAATCCAAGAAGGCAGCATCCCAATCGGACTCGGACTCTGATTCTGATGAGATTGTCACGAGGAAGAAGCCTGGAAGGGCAAAGGGCAAGGACGCATTGTTCCGCGTGAAATGGTTTAGAATTGTCCTTGGTGCGTCGCCACCCGTGTTGGCTGAATAATCACATGACGTGTATACAAAGATGAAGCACACAATATCAAGAACAGGAATACGAAAGCGGCTATTGCATGCTGCGAACTAGATGGGAAGTTTCGCTGGTGTCTTACAGGCACACCCATGTGCGTTTAAAGTTCGCGTTATGTGAAGGCAGTCCTACAAATTTCTTTTCAGGCAAAATACAGTGGATGAACTGTTCTCTCTCCTCAAATTTATCCGTGTGCGTCCGCTCAACGACTGGCAAAACTTCAACGAACAGATCGCACAGCCTATCAAGGCTGGGCGACCAGTACGTGCCCTTAAACGACTTCATGTGGGTCCTTTTGTGCATGTGTATTGAATCATTGCCCTACAACTCGACCTCTTGTGCAGGTCGTTCTCCAATCCATCATGCTCCGACGTACCAAGGATTTCGTCCTTAATGGAAAACCTATCATATCCCTTCCGGCACGGCATTTGACTGTTGTTCAATGCAAATTTGATTCAGACGAACAAGCATTTTACAGCACGCTCTCGAAACGCATGACAAACGAACTTGACAAACTTGTTCAGGCCAACGAAGCGTCCAAGAATTATACTCACGTGTTGCTTATGCTCCTGAGACTAAGGCAAGGTAGGTTGACTCGTGTACTGACGTTGCATCACATGCTAATTCAGATTCACTAGCTTGCAACCATCCGTCCCTTGTGTACAAGGACTACCGCATCGACTCTGAGGCCGCCGAGCCTCGCCCCACTAAGAGCGATGATGGTGATGAAGATGCCGACGAGCTTGCGACACTTTTAGGACAGATGGGTGTCTCGAACGGCAAGAAATGCCAGTTGTGTCAGGCAAAGTATGTTACCTTCGCTGACATACAGTAGGAATTCTAACTCGTCTTCTTTGCGCAGCCTCACCTCTTCCGATTCAGACCACTGTCCTGACTGTATCGAAATCGCTGCCAAGGCCCGACGCAAGTCTGTGGCCGCACCAACCGCTCGTGATCCTAACTTACCTCCGGATTCGGCGAAGATTCGCAAGCTGTTGGAAATTCTTCGGGATGTGGATGAACGAAGCGAGAGTGCTGAAAAAACGATTATTTTTTCTCAATTCACCAGCATGTTGGATCTGATCGAACCATTTTTGACTGCGGAGGGAATCAAGTTTGCCCGATGTATGTTTTTTGGCTTCTCGTCACTTGAGGTTTCTGACTTGCTATGATGGCGCTATGTAGATGATGGAAGCATGACGAAGGATAAGCGTGAGGCATCGCTGGAGAAAATTCGAAACAGTAAGAACACGCGCTGTATCCTGATTTCATTCAAGGCCGGAAGTACTGGTACGTTCCCTCCAACTCACAATGATGGCGAGTCCCTAATCTTTGCGTTCTAGGGTTGAATTTGACCTGCTGCAATAATGTGGTCCTCGTTGACATGTGGTGGAACCCTGCGCTTGAGGTCCGTCCCAGACTCACTTTTTAAAAAAATCAGAATTAACCGCGGGGATAGGACCAAGCATTCGATCGTGCGCATCGCTTCGGGCAAACACGCGAAGTCAATATCTTCAAGCTCACTGTTCCCGAGACCGTCGAAGAGCGGATCCTTGAGGTAAGTTATGTAACATTTGCAATCAAAGCTGTAATCGAGCGATGACGCTATATAGCTTCAAGAGAAGAAACGCGAGCTTACGAAAGCGGCGTTGAGTGGAGAGAAGATGAAGAATATGAAACTCGGCATGGATGATTTGTTGGCGTTGTTCAGGCCTGGGGCGCACCATGATGACGACGATGAGGAATGATTGAATGTTCGTACGTGCTAGACACGTTGAGGTCTTGGTTTCGATCGTATGCGTTTATGCTGTTCTCGCTGTTGTTTTGATCTACGTATCATTTCGTGCTTGCGTGCAATGCTATTCTACATAAATGCTGTTGAGCGCTGAGCAGTACTATGTAGTGTTGATGTCGACGAAAGATTGATTTTCCTTTTCTGGTTGTTGGTGACGCGTTGCAATTGCTCGTGCCGGGCCAATTGCAAGACTCAAAGCAGATTGGGTCTCGAGCTACTGGAGTCGATTGTGATCATATGTGCTTATTATTCAATTGTCTGGGTCTAACATATTGCAACGTTCCTCTTGCACTCATTCTCGTAGGAGTAGGTATGTTAGGTCACTCAGCGCAACGTTGTTGGTCAGTGGCCACGTGCTGATTGTCAGCGGAGCTTGCAGAGCCACTGACGGTGATTTGGTGTTATCATAGACGTTTCATGATAGAGTGAATCTTTAAATCCTAGAGCCTAGATGAACACGATCGATACCAGCTCCCAAGGATCCACATCTGCAGACGTTTGGGACCAGCCCAGTGCAAGTAATGATGTTTGATACTGGACCACGAGACCTGACGGTACCTCTTTAGGATTACTCTGGCCTAGGCGCTGCAACTAAATCACAGCGGAAGGCCCAACGGATCGTTCCAGACGACTGGGATAACGATGAAGATGAGGAAGAAGATAACGCCAAAGTTTGGGAAGACGCGTGAGTCTACTGTTCTCCTTCAGCTGTCAGCCCCAGCGTTAACTCCTCTGCACATTGCAGAAACAGCAAAGCACCCATGCCAGAACTCATCATCTCTCCCTCAAGCACCGGGACATGCGTCGTCCCCCCTCCCCCAGCTGCCTTCCAACCGACGATGCGCATCCTGAAACGGCCCTCTCCCTCTCAATCAGCCTCGAATTTCACTACCTCGCTTTCTTCGCAGACGCGCAACACTCTTGCTGAGCGTGAGGCTCAGTATCAAGAAGCTCGTAATCGAATATTTGGAACAACGGGCGAGCGTGGCAGTGATGATTTGGAAAGCCGACGCGGGGTGCCGGTGAGGAACGGTAGTGGTAAGGGAGCAGATGCTGGATCTGCGGCGTCTGCGGTGCTGCGTACTCCTACAGGTCCGCCAGATGCAGACAAAGGGGTGGGTCGGACCAATGATTTCCCTCCAAAGGGATTTCGTGACAGGAAGAATGGGAAGAACCAGAACAGCACATCTTCGAGTATGTTACCACGGACTTCGAGTTGATTTTTCTGGTGTTCAGCTAGGTTTTTACTGTTAATTGATCGTTGTATTTTTGTCTTGTACACGTTCTTAATGCAACGCGCTTGTGAGTCGGAGAGCTCTTTCACGCCAACTCGCCGCACGTCAACTACTGTATGTACAAGTCTTTGGAGCTCTCGGCCCGACTTCTCATACGCCTCAGGTGCGAACAAGACAGAACAGCGAGTTTCGATATCTTTCAAACTCTGATGGCTTGACCAAATACACATCACATCGGAAACAGTTACATCACGACTCAGAGGCAGCAGGCTGAACAGCGGAGACAGTGACGCGGGTGAACATGAAGTATACCAGAGTACGAGACGTGCCAATAACATAGTCTTCTCGAGCAGGTCGTTGTGTCGCCGTCTGGACCTGTAGTTGGGTGGTTGAGCGTGGTTGTGCCGCAAGTTGAACTGTTACTGGGGACAACTGACTAATCTGAGCATTAGTCTTCACAGAGGGGGAGGCGCCACGTAGACCCTCTGAAGATTCGGTTATGCATATAACAGAACGAGGGACACCTAACACACTGCTTACCTGTTTTTTTCTTCCAGCACGATCGTTACAAGCTACGGGCCAGTGTACTACGCGAAAAGACTACGCTTTGGGCGTTATTGCAGCGCAATGGACTCGCTTGCTGTCGGGCGATGACAAGAGGGAATGAGACCATTCCGAAGGTGGGGAGACGAGGAAGGGTTGGGACATTGGCATTGGCGAGAAGGACCAGATGTTGCCGAGGGAGGATAAGGCTTCGAATGTCTATCATCAATATTGGTACTCTTTGAAAGGGTACCAGCTGAAAAAGTAGCCATAGTCATCGCTTCCCAAGTGCGCAAAGGATTTGTGGCGTCGACCTTTATAGTTTTGTGAGCAGAAGAAGGAAGGTATTGAATTGCAGGAGTAAGTACTGAGTCCTGACTTCAAGGCAAGACGGTGGTGGCGAGTTTCCTGTCATATAGCTTGTCACCTTGAAAATATTACCTTAGTCTTCCCAGCCAGACCTTATGAAAATAGTCGTTCCTTCCAGGATTTTGTGCGATACAGAACATCGGTTCTAAGCTCGATTGAAATACAACAATTGTGTACATGGCGCTGAGCAACCTCCATCATGATCAATAGACTTGACATGTGGAAGCATACCACGCACATCGAATGTTCTCAGCCGCACTTGAAGTCGATTTTCTCGCGTTGTCGGTACGGTGTAATGGCTAGATGGTGCAATCAGTAGGGTCCACTGTCATCATACTCAAAATAAATGGTCAACGTGATTTGTTGCACCGTCAAAACAGGAAGACGGTAGAGTTGGAATGTTCCCAAGAGTGAGTAATGAGTGAAATAAGCCAACTACGATCAGAGGGGCGGGGGGGCGTGTATATTTCTGACATAAGCAAAGTTTTTATACCATCCCTTTCTGAGGTCGTTATAAGTTACCCCGTTCCTCATCGTGCTCGTTCTGTGGTTTGAACAGGACAAGAAAAATGCCTTCACCAATGGCGTTGAATCCGCCATCACGTTCTCCGTCCATCTTCAAAAAGAAAAAATCGTTTAGCCAGTTGTCGTCAATGGCGACCGCAGCGTCCTACCTTTCTGCTGTTCACCAAGCAGATACGCGCGCTCGCAGTCATGACAATTCTTCGGTTTCATCAACCCCTGCACTTTCACTATCATCTTCTGTCACAGCTTCATCAGAAGACACCATTCTCAACGAGGACGATGAGAATAATTGTCTCGCGTACCCCTTTACACCCCCAACATCTGAACAGGTCTTCACCACCGTTCACACGGAGTTTGGTCATTGTGCAAACGAGGCGTATCGTTGCGTCTCTAAGCATGACTACTCCAAACCTGTGCAAGAGCACAACATTGAAGAGCCTCCATATTATATCCTCCTCACCACCTATATTAGTTACCTTATTCTCCTCTGTTTTGGTCATATGCGTGACTTCTTCGGAAAGCGTTTCACCAAGTCTTATTTCACCCACCTTATGCCCCATGATGTGCGTTGCAATCTTCTTTCCCCCTCAACCTTGCTCCCCATCATCTAATTCATTTTGTACCCAGGGTTACGCGCCATTGAACTCGGATTTTGATTCGTTTTACACCCGTCGGCTTAAGCGTCGCATGGATGACTGCTTTTCCCAGCCTGTCACTGGTGTTGCGGGACGCACTATTGTTATCCTCGACCGGTATTCCACGGATAACAATCACACTCAAATTTTCACCGGTGGCAAGACTCGTGCGCTGAACATTTCTTCGTATAACTATCTCGGTTTTGCCCAGGCCCGTGGCGGCTGTGCAGACGCAGTTGAGGAAAGCATCCGTCGATATGGCGTTTCCACTTGCGGCACGCGTCTTGAGAGCGGGAGCAGCGAGCTCCACGCATCTGCCGAAGCCCTCGTTGCACGTTTTGTTGGTATGGAAGATGCATTGATCAGTTCGATGGGTTTCGCCACCAACTCTACTTTTATCCCCGCACTCGTGGGAAAGGGATCCCTTGTCATCTCCGACGAACTGAACCATGCTAGTATCCGCGTCGGTGTACGCCATAGTGATGCGCAGGTCCGGATGTTCAAACACAATGATATGTTAAGCCTCGAGTCCTTGTTGCGCGAAGTGGTCAGCCAGGGTCAGCCCAAGACACATCGTCCGTGGAAGAAGATTTTAGTCATCGTCGAAGGTTTGTATTCTATGGAAGGCACTCTCGTGAACCTGCCCAGAATTGTCGAACTGAAGCAGAAGTACAAGGTGTGTACCGCAGTTAGTTTGTTGTGTTATAATGTTGATATGTTATCCAAGTTCTTCCTCTTTGTTGATGAGGCACATTCAATCGGTGCGCTGGGTCCCCATGGACGCGGTGTCACAGATTACTTTAACATCCCTCCTCGTTCGATCGATGTCTTGATGGGCACTTTCACAAAGTCCTTTGGTGCTGCTGGTGGATACATCGCAGGACCTAAAATCCTTATTGATGCTCTCCGGTTGCATGGTCACTCCGGACTGTATGCAGAAGCTATGACGCCCCCCGTTCTCACCCAGGTCGTCTCGTCGATGGCTAGCATCATGGGCGTCGTTCCGTCATCACAGTCGACCAAGTCCGCACTCACGCTCAGCCCTGCTAGCTCCATCGTAACGCTGAAGGATGGTGCAGAGGAGCTCCCAGTGATGGCACCTTCAAGCATGCTGCCGACGTGGATGAACCTCCATCCGGCTCTTGCAGATGGTTCTGAAGCTCGTATGCGTATCCGCCGTCTTGCCTTCAACTCGCGGTATCTCCATCAGGGCCTCAAGAAACTCGGTTTCATCACCTACGGACATCCATTCAGCCCGATTGTCCCTCTTCTCATCTTCAATCCGGGCAAGATGAGCATGTTCTCGCGCATGATGCGTTCGCGGAGCACGCCGATCGTTGTCGTTGTCGTGGCGTATCCTGCCACTCCGCTTGTTACCAGTAGGGTACGGTTCTGTGTTAGCGCATCGCACACAAAGGAGGATATCGATATGGTGCTACGAGCATGCGATGAAGTGGGCGGCATCCTGGACCTGAAGCATGGAGTAGGCGAGCGGTGGGGGATCGACGAGGTTTGCAAGCGCGCAGTGGAGCTTGTACACTCTGTGTGAATGCCTGCATAACTATTTTCCTTGCTGCTACCCTCTTCATGTAAGTTATTGACGGCGACTTTGTTCCACGACGAAGCAATACAAGGTGATCACTATACAGGTTAGATGATGAAAGCTACGAGAAAAATGACATACATACATTAACGAGGATTCTGGATATTGGCTTTTTTTTTTCAGTACATACACTACCACACGACGACATCGTCCTTACTTGCGTCTTAGGCTGATTCTGTTCAAGACATTTTCTTTACCTTTTCTTGCAGATATATTATTGGTCTCGCATTTCATTTGCTGATGATGGACGGAATGAGCAGGGGGTGGTGCGCGTGGTGCTAGCGATGTATAAAGAGACGACTAACTTGGGGACGGCTGATTGACCAATAGCGCTCGTTGCCTTTGTAGATCCGGGCCGCAGCACAGTGATATAAGTGGGATGCTTGGCGTGCATGCACACTTCATCTTATCGGTTCAGTGACTCGCCTAGATCGTAGCACATACGGTATCTCTTCACCAGCAACGACAATGCCAGCTCCAGCAAGCTTCAGCAACTACATCGACACGCACGCAGATGCATTTATCAAGCGTCTAGGCGATGCCGTTGCTATTCAAAGGTAGATTCTGTACTCGCGTGCAATCAACTTTCCGACTTAATTCAAGACTCCCATGTGTACAGTATCAGCAGTGATGCTCGTCGACGCGAGGACGTCATTGTGATGGGAAATTGGCTGAACGGCCAGTTGAACGAGCTTGACGTCGAGACTAAGCTCGTAGATCTCGGCACGCATGAGATGCAGGGGCAGACGCTGCAGCTCCCTCCGGCCATTATCGGACGCCTGGGGAGCGACCCTGCGAAGAAGACGGTGTTGATATATGGACACTACGACGTGCAGCCTGTGAGTCCTTTGTAGTGGTGTGTGTTGTGTTAAAGGGCACAGTACTGAACCGCAGAAACCAGGCACTGAAGACGGACGGCTGGAAGACGGATCCGTTCACGCTTGTGGTGGACGAAGATTCAGGTCGCTTGATCGGTCGTGGCTCGACAGATGATAAGGGCCCGATTTTGGGCTGGTTGAATGTCCTAGAGGCACATAAAAACCTGGGAATTGCGATGCCTGTGAATTTGCGAATTTGTTTTGAGGGTATGGAGGAGAATGGGAGCGAGGGGTTGGATGAGTGCATTCAGGAGGAGGTGAAGAAGGGTAAGGACGGGTGGTTTGACGGAGTTGATTGCGTGTGCATCGTGCGTGATCGTTGCCTGCCAGTGTGGAGATGTGTGCTGATGCACGAGACAGAGTGACAATTACTGGCTGAACACCCGAACCCCTGCACTGACATATGGGCTACGTGGTATTGCATATTTCAGCATCAACATTACTGGGCCCGGTCAAGATCTGCATTCAGGGTTATTTGGGAGGACGGTGCACGAACCCATGACAGATTTGATCAAGCTCATGAGCAAGCTTGTGGATCATAACGGAGACATTTTGATTCCTGGCATCGATGACATGGTCCCACCCCATGACGAGGACGAATTGTGCGTGCCCAGACTTTTCATTGAGATCTAGACTTATTCTACGTAGGAAGCTTTACCAGAAGATGGACTATACGATAGATGATATCGAAGAGGCTGCTGGTGGAAAGGCAAGTGGTCATTCTTTTGGTGATTGCTCGCATCTGACTGAATCATAAAGGTGGCACTGTCATCGGAAAAGACTACCGTGCTAATGGGCCGAATGCGTCAGCCATCCCTTTCCCTACACGGCATCGAGGGGGCATTCTCAGCGGTCGGAGCTAAAACTGTCATTCCTGCCAAAGTGGGCGGGAAGTTCAGTATTCGGTGACTTCATTCCCCACCTCATTTAACTCCGCACGCTGATTGTGGCTCTTCGCTTCGCTTCATCATTTCCGGTATAACATCTACGTGTTATCGATCTTACCAGCCTCGTTCCTCCCCAAACTCCGGAGAAGATCATACCCCTTGTCCATGCATACCTCGAAGCCGAGTTTGCGAAGTTTAACAGCAAGAACAAGATGGAGATAGAGTACCTACACGGCGGTAAACCTTGGGTTGCAGACGTTAGGCACTGGAACTTTGAAGCTGCAAAGAAGGCTATCGAGGTGTGTCTGAAACACCGATTCTCTTCCACGTCATGAATTAGAAATCGTTCAGGCTGTGTATAAGAAGACACCAGACTACACACGTGAAGGAGGCTCGATCCCCGTGACGCTGACATTTGCGGAGAGCCTGGGCGTAAACGTATTATTACTGCCTATGGGCAGAGCAGATGACGGAGCTCAGTACGTGATTTTTTCACGACCCCTATTTACTGGTTGACATATTCCCCAGCTCGACCAACGAGAAGCTGGATCGATCGAATTTCATTGAAGGAGTGAGTGGATTAATCAGGAAAACGTCAATGATAATTTATGGTCCTATTATAGACGAAGGTCCTAGGTACCTACTTGTACGAGGTTGGCGCTGCTGCATGACACAAGTAACAGAAGAAGAAGCTCTACAATTGTTGTATTTGGTGAATTTACGCCGCATATGGCTACTACCTCACGGGATTACAGCAGTAATTCTTGGCGTTATGAAGGTGTCAGCCAAGTGCGCAGATTTCAGATCATTGCATTTGTCTATAACTTCCTGGACCTGGTCAATGCCCCGGCACTCCCAACTATTCGGTAAGCGCTGGTATCTCATCGTCTCTTTCTACTTCACAAATGATAAATTCAATGCAACAATCTACGCAAGCATCAGTTCGAGACTCGAGAGATCTTTCGTAACCGTGATCACTCTGCAGCCGCGCTGTCCATTGCGATTCTCTTGTCAACACCTCAGTTCAGTTGGCTTCTTCAAAGGTTTTCTTGTCCTTTTCTTTTAACATTCTTAGCATATATCTCGCACTGTCCCTCGTTGCGACATGTGCACCTCACCAATAACACAAGCAGCCAATATCCACTAGTACTGCTGATATTATATAGACGAATGTCAGCCATGACCAGTGTCAGACCGGTGACCAATGAGCACTAATTCCTATCTTCTATCATGTCCTGTGATGCCCCCACTAGTAGCTAGTTTTCGAGACCACTATTAATATTAGGACAATAAAGTATGAAATCTCGGAACCCACTTGGCATTCCCAGCTTCGATAGAAGACTTACAACTAGTACCGCAAACATTCAAATATTTGCCAAGCAAATGTCCAGACTGAGTACGTAAGGTCAACAGAATACGAGTACATGATAGATGACAAGGTTGTCAAGAGAATCGTAGTAGAACGACAACCGGAAGTACGCCGCAAATTGTTCGATCGAATAGTAGAGAATCCGACATCAACACTGTCCTACAATGAGTCCTAGAAGCTAGAAAACTACAGTCCGGTATGAATGAAACCAATTCTCTGCTCAAGCGGCACTGTCTTCTTCACTGCGTAAGTAGTCTTGTTGAGTGCCCAGGCCGCCTTCGTGCAATTCATGACACCCTCATCCATATCCTTGAACATGTTCTCGTAGAAAGCTTCAACAACATGTTTTGCAACAGCGTCATCAACCTCCCAAAGAGTGCCGACAACACTCTTGAACCCCGAAAACTGTACACCAGATGCGAGATGAATGACTTCGTCGGGCGTCTTCTCATCGCCGCGGGCGGCATGACACCCCGACAAGAATGCGAATTCGGCTTGCGGTGCATCATTCTCCACGATGTCAAGCAGCGTGAGGGGTTTATTTCTCATGACGAAACGTGAGTTGGAGGGATGTTCATAGTCCTGCTTGCCGTGGCAAGCGAGGTGTACCCAGGTGTTGCATCGCAAAGCTTCGAGTGCACCGGCTTGTGTAGCTTTGTCGCCAGAAAGATGAGTGAACTTGACGTTAGGAGGAACATGTTTATGGACAAGCTCAAGTTCGGTTTCAACAGCAGCGAGGACCGTGCCTTGCCCTGCGCCAGGTTGATCTTGTCCGATCGCCGCGAAGGAAGGAGTGACACGTGTCGTCATCGTCTGTCGAGCCCTGATCAGAGAAGAAAGTGTTGGAGTGTAAGAGCAAATGTAGAGGTCCTCCAGGCTCGGTTCCCGCCCAGAGCGGTCTGCATTCATTCGAAATGGGTGGGCTGCGTGAAGAGGAATGGATGTAAAGGCTGCCGTTGGACATAACCAAATTCGAGAGCCACTCGGTAATTTCAGATCCTGCTGTAGTACATTGACAATAGGTTGCATGACCTCGTCCCATATCGTCCGCAGCAGTGCTATCAGCGCTGTTCTTGGCTCCTTTGAGTCCACGCGAGCCGTATCCCGTATCACGTTTGCGAAGTGCTTCTTGAGCATCTTCAGATCTGTGAGAGCGAGAGACGGGAAGGGAACGTGGTGGGGCTTCCCTGACGCTGAAACAATGATGGCATTGCAGGAGTATTCGCTAGCATTGAGAATAATGACTGGGCCGTGGCGGGCTGCCACTTGCAAATCTTCATATGATGGCGGGAGCAGGAATCGCGAGAAACCTTGCAGATTGCGGATTTCAGCCACCACAGCTTCCCATTCTGTCGTAAGTCTCCTGTACTCCGTTTCTGCCCGATCAGCAGCGTCCCGGTCTGCATTGCCTGCAGAATTCCGAGCATCAGATAGGCTCTTGCTGAGCTCCGAGAGTCTATGAGCTAGCGGGATATTGATGGACTTGAGATCGTCCAGCGGAGCCCTAAGTCGACAGGCCAGCGACCGTTGCTGGTCGCGACCCTGCTCCTCAAGTTCAACCCCTCGTTGCAGATCATTACGACGAATAGCGCATGATGTTGCATTCATGGGTAGGGATTCAGCACTATCAATCGGGATTGCAGTATTGCGACCGAGGATAATTGAGGATTGCGCCACGTGGTTATTGAAAAGGTCTAAGCATGTTTGATACGCTTCAAGGGCAGATTCGTGTTCATAGAATTCCGATTGGCGAGCCCATTGGATAGCCTCCTTGATGCGTTCTGGAAATCCCTGAGTAGGGTGATTCGAAGCCAATCTGAAGTTCTCCACTGCAAGTGATAGATCAACAGCGTTGGGTAGGATCCGATAACGAGACAGATAGGCCTCCTTGAGCCATTTGTAGCTGAAATAACGGTCCGCGTGCAGTGGCGGCAAAGCCACCAATGAATCTTGGCAAAGACCAATGGCCTCCTCAACATCTTTTTTCTTCCGTGTCTGCGCGAAACGAGAGCAGAGTGCCATGCTCAAATTGAATAAATTTCTGTGGCGCTCCGGATGATCGTCCTGCTGTAGCAACAGAAGCGATTTGCGGCACAGATCAATGGCCTCATCTAGATCCTCGCTGGCATGTAATTTATCATGTCTAGTTATGAGCGCGGCAGCAAGGTTGTTGAGCTTGGTGTCACGATTTGGGCGCCCAGGTGAGCATGACGCCAGTGCTTTGCGAAAGAGGCCGGCAGCTCTGTTTATATCATCGATGTCATTGCATTCATTGAAACGGGTGAGGAGGGCGCGCCCCAGGCCATCCAATGACGCATCATGATATTCGTGCCCAACAGGGCGTAGGGGCAGTGCTTCTTCATAGAGAGAGATGACCTCGTCAAGGTCATGAGATCCCCCTTGGTGATCGAAGCGGCTACGGAGGGATACGGCGAAGTTAATCAAGTAGGTAACGCGGTTGGGATTTCCCTCGGGGCACATAGAAACAACTTCACGACCAAGTTGTACGTTCCGATCTAGCTCATCGAAGCCGCATTGTCGAAAGCGTGCTTTTACTGCCTTTGCAAGCTTGTCGATGGCGCTGGGATTGTGTTGATTTCCCGGAGGACATAGCTTGAGTACGATTCGTCGAAGGTAGATATCTTCATCGGATGCATCTATGGGAAGATTGTTGCATGCCCGTACCACATAATCGACACCATTTTTGCCGATCGCGATGCTACGAAGATAGGTGTCTTCAGAACAGAGAGACAGTAGCTCATGACAGAGCTGGGCTGCCTTGAAGATATCAACAGTGATAGAATGATAGCTGTAGCGCCAAATCAATGCTTCGGCGAGATGATAAAGGGAAACTGGACGGTCGGGGTGGCCTCGCGGACGCAGTGCAAGGGCATCGCATAACAAAGTGGTAGTAATGTAAATGCCTTGAAGATCTTTGCGGATATACCCTTGAAGGCGGGCCCACGCAAGGTTAGTGAGAGCTGCCGCATGGTCTGGATGATCGACCGGACACTGGTCCAGAACTAACTCAAAATGGTTCATAGCATCGTCCAGGATTTGGACCCCACCCCTGCCTCTCATGTAGTCGCATAATCGTATGTGGCCCACATCTGTGTCTCGAGCAATCCTGCAGTCATCGATAGACTAAATTTTGCATTCTGTCAACAAAAGCCAACAGCACGAAGGCCGGTGTCGCTCACATCAAACGGCACACTGCCATCATTTGCGCAAGTAATCCCAGAAGCGACTTTCAGCGTGAGAGAAGGGCAGACACCCCGAATGGGCGGAAACGATATATCTGCGACCACGAGGGACTCTGAGGAGACGCGGATGAGTGTGAAGCAGATCACTCACCGAAAGGCTCGTCACCACGATCGAGCAGCCCTTCCCACGACATTTCAAGCTTTCCCACGAGTTCCCCACGACCTAGCATTCGGCCGAGCTCAAAAGATGCCCGAATCTCCACCGATAACTTAGGTGATACATCTGGGGATCTACAAGCCGATGAGTACAATAATCACATCTACAAGTGCGTGTAGAAGGCTTTACAAGGTCACAGTATCGCCCCATACTACAAAACTGTCGGATGATAGCACCCGCACAGCTGATTTCCAGCATCTCTTCGAGTCGACATTGACAGACACGTAAATGCCTGCTGGTATCCGCCCGGAGGGGACACTGATTTTCTTCCCACCAACGACTGTAGCAGAACGTGAGGATCACGAAACAAATACCGAGGCGGTATGGAGACCGACCTTCAAATATGATAGATTGCCCTTCCGAGCTACTGGTCATGATGTCAAGAAATGACAAAGAGACTGGGGATGGGCTGAGTGCTCGGTGGGTGGAACGAGTAGTAGGACAAGATGATATGAGGTTTATGTATGAAGTTCAGGTGAAAGGGAGAGCTGAGGGAATTCGAGTGGTGTTACACGTGTACACCGATTACTGTTCGGCACCATAGACGCTGGCCCTCATTCTAGTGTCAGACCAAAATATACAGGCTAACGGCAACGACGTGTGCCAATGAAGTGGACGTAAGTTAATGCCAAGGTCAGTCACGTCAGCGAAAGATAGCACACCAGGGCCGGAGGCTGCTGATCAGCACTAGCAATGAGCTGGAGTGGACATGCAAGTTTTAATATGTCATGTGATGCTCCTTGCCACTAAGCTATTTCATAACTGGTATCGTCCCGAGTCAGAGAACTCATTTACCACGCTATGAGGCAAAATGAAGAATCCATTATATTTCGTAGTGCAAACATTAAAAACCATTGGAGACAAATCAAACGTACATAAGGG